TGGCTAAATTAAAATTTTTTTTCAGATAAAAGAGTTAGAATTCATAAATATTTCAAAATTATCTTAATTTTGTAGTAATATTTTTAAAAATGTTGTTGTATTTTTATACCTTTATTTATTTTTAGTGGTGCTGAGGATCAAACCTAGTGCCTCACATATGCTAGGCAAGTGCTCTACCACTGAGCTACAGCTGCAACCCTTGGAGTAGTATTTTAAATCCCTTAAAATGTTTTAAATGTGAAGTGTATCAATAAACTACAAAAATCACTGCTGCAAACCAGCATGTTATCTACAGAAGAATTCGATCCTACAAATTACTCCGAAAAGAGTAAAAAAAAAAAAAAAAAAAGAGAGAAAATTAATAGATGTTCTTATTAATTTAAATGAAGGACTTTTTTAAAATTTTAAATACAACTGAAAGGGCTGGGGTTGTAGCTCAGTGGTAGAGTGCTTGCCTAGTATGTGTGAGACACTGGGCTCAATCCCCAGCAACACATAAAAATAAGCAAACAAAATAGAAGTATTGTGTCCAYCTACAACTTAAAAAAAAAATACAACTTAAGATTTCAAAGGTGGAAAAAATTTCAGAAAAGATGAACAAACATTGTCTACAAGCCTAGTTCCTGGGTCTCAACATAGCTTTATTTAGAAGATGGCTTTTACGTTGTGGTCCATTTGAAGCAACAAAGTCATCACGCTTAACCAAGCAGACTGCTGAAAAGCATTACTTTTAGATAAAGGTTTTACCTCAGTGCACTTGAATCTAAAAGTTAAAATTACAGTCAGGTTAGGGAATTTTCACTATGAATAATCTCAGTGCACAGAAAGAAGTGGTAATCAACTTGACCCACAGCAACAGTTGAAAAAGCAGGTTAACAAAGCACACTCAAGCAAGTTAAAACCATCTCAAGTCAAGAGTCACAATCCTTGGGGCTGGGGATGTGGCTCAAGTGGCATGCGTTCGGCCCGGGTTCGATCCTCAGTACCACATACAAACAAAGATGTTGTGTCCACTGAAAACTAAAAAAATAAATATTAAAAAAAAGAGTCACAATCCAAAGAACCATGCACTTTAAAAGTATATATATATATATATATATATATTTTTTTTTTTTTTTTAAATTTATACATGGATATAATATCTGTTTTGTTTATTTTTTTTTATGTGGTGCTAAGGATTGAACCCAGAGCCTCACAGGTGTGAGGCAAGCACTCTTTACCACTGAGCCACAACCCCAGCCCAAGCCATGCACTTTTAATCCTTTACACCTGGAAGGAAATCTGAAGATGGGGAATGAGGCAGCAAATTAATCCATTCTAGGGTAATTTACATAATTACAGCCTCTCATAACACCTGACATACTGGTTAAAAACAACAGTAGTGTCTATAAAATATTTTAAGATGTGTGTAACACACACTTTCTAAAACATAAAATGAACTTGGATTTTGAGGGGTTAAGAAAATAAGAATTGTAAAACATCTAAAAAGACACTAATTTGCATAAGTGAGAAACATAGTTTAAGAATGAATATAAGGTACAGTGAAAATTCTAGTCCGTTGTTTTTATAATACTCATTTCTTCCTGGTTAAAAAAAAAAAAAAATCAACATTGTGCCAGGCATGGTGGCACGTACCTGTATTCTCAGCAACCCAGGAAGCTGACATGGGAGGACAGCAAATTCAAGGCCATGCTCAGAAACTTAGTGAGAACCTGTCTTGAAATTAAAAAGGGTCTGGGGATGTCACTCCCCAGTATCCTCGGTCAAAAAAACATTTTTCTTAATACTTTATAAAAACCAAGACTAAAAAGGGGGAAAGCAAGGTAAACAAAATGAAAAAAATTTTCTACCTTTTCTAATACTATATATAMAATACCATGAATTTATACAAATTTGTCTCCAGCAAAAGTTTGGTTGTTTTTTTATTAAACTGACAGTTTTAATCAACTCAATGTCAGACTTTCATTCACTTTCTGTTTTCTGAGTGAACTGGCTGGGTTAGCAGCCCCTCTTAACACAATCTGGTTGGTATCTCCACTGGTTTTTTAGATGATTCACTCATCAAACCTTAACWCTCTCTCCCTCTCTCTTTTTTTTTTTTAAGAGAGAGAATTTTAATATTTATTTTTTAGTTATTGGCAGACACAACATCTTTGTTTGTATATGGTGCTGAGAATCGAACCCGGGCCGCACGCATGCCAGGCGAGCGCGCTACCGCTTGAGCCACATCCCCAGCCCAAACCTTAACTCTCTTTAGGCTACAGAATCACAGTATCATCTATTCAACTTACCACCATTAAAGGAACAACAGAAAACTGACATGATTACTAGTAAGCCAAAAATGTTTCTCTAAGAAGTAGTAATAGTTCCATTAGGATAAATATTTGATTCTTGCAAAAACTATAGCTTTTAGTGCTTCATTTTCTGCTGTAATACAAGAGAGGTGGGTGTAATGTTAAAAAGCTGCAATAAATCAAGCCATTTTGAGCAACAACTGGGATTCTCATCTTTCACTGCACTGTGACAGAACCCTCTGCACTGTTTTCTATAAGTAACCCATATTTAACAAGTTTATTAAAAACAAAACCAACCCCCCCCCAAATTGCCAGTCTTTGTGAAGCACCATATGGACCATAACAATAATACATTCATTTTTTAAAGGTTTTTTTACAACTTTATTTATTTTTAATATGGTGCTGAGTATTGAACCCAGTGCCTCACACATGCTAGGAAAGTGCTCTACCACTGAGCCACAATCCCAGCCCCAATTAATTCATCTTTATTTTCTAAGAGCCTACAACCTAAAAATGCTGAAAAGGATGTAGCTGAGCACAGTGGCGCATGCTTACAATCTTAGCTACTTAGGAGGCTGAAGCAGAAAGACCTCAAGTTTGAGGTAAGTTCTTAGCAAGAACTGTTTCAAAAAAAAAAAAAAAAAAGAAGAAGAAGAAGAAGAAGAAGAAGAAAGGAAAAGCTGTAGCTCAGTGGCTGAGGACTGGGGTTAAATCCTCACTACTACAAGGGGTAAAAAAAAAAAGATTTTTTTTGTTGGGGATGATGGAAAAGTTTTGGGTACAGAATGCAGTGATGATTACCCAATGCTGTGAACCTGTTACTAAACTGTAAAATTATGAATGGCTAAAATGATAAATATTATGTATACTTTTAAAAAAAGAGAGATGCAATTATATTGATTAGTGAGCTAGCTGTAAAATATACTCAAGTCCCAATCTCTCTGCATTTCAGTTTATTCATCTGGAAATTTAAGGGAGTTGGAGTGGATTATCTAACTTTCTTGTAAAATTCTTGTAAAGTATCTGATAATGGGAACTGGGAAGTAAAGAAATATTAAGCTATTTGGACGTGTTGGAGGTCACAGGAACTATGTGATTCCATGATGTCATCCAGATCTCCTGACTCTTGGTACAGTATTAATTTTACAAAACTAGTGATTTTACTTGTGTGCTAAAACACAAAGCCAGAAAAGGCAAAGAAATGTCAAAGTCTCCAGGTGCTACTTTAGCCCCCTGTATACTAAGTGTCTCTTAAACCTGTTGTTCAGTTTTCTCTAATCTCTAAGCAGTACTGCATGTCATTTCCTTTCTGAAAATATAAATTATATTACTTCTAACACACACACACACACACAAAGTAAAAAACACAATAAATCTTGACTTTTGGACGACAGCCAAATTTAAGAGATTTCAACCTATCTCCTACCAATGTAGATAGTTTCTTCTTTCTTGTCCAAAGCTCCATTCTGTGTGGTTCTGAAGTGGGCCTCCATATCTTTTTTTTACCCTGAGACACTTCTACAATGCAACAGCAGAATAAACACATATGGTGTGAGAAGCAATGCTAGTTCTGACTCCAGGATTGTTTTGCAGTGTGGCCTCAGCAAGCAAGATCATATTACCTCTTTGAAGTTTCAATTACTTCACCCATATCCAAAGAAAGTTATAAAGTGACTAGTAAGTTCAAACTAGTGAGTGCTACATTGGATGCTGTTTCATCCTTCTTGGTATCTTTCTATGCTGTCTTTATCTGAGGGATGAGGAATATATCTTATATTTAAGTAGTCTTTAAAACACATCTTTTCCCTCCCTTCACCACGTTTGTAATCATACTCTAACAACTGAACTCTTGCCAGTAAGTCTTCTAAAATGCTACATCTTCCGTGAAAGGCAGAAACCCAAAAGCTACCTTCTAGTGGTAGCAATCAGTATTTTCAATACTTTAAGAAAACATTTCACCTTAGTGTTCTCTGGCACATTATGACATCATTGCCTTCCAGTGTTTGCTGGTTCATTAAATAATCCTGTTTCTATTTGTTCCTTGGCCTTCAATACACAGATTGCAAATGTCCAATTTCAGATGCTGGGTTAAAGATCCAGTGAAGAACCTGAAAAAATGTCTATCTGTACAATTTGTTTGGTGAATACACTTTCTATTATTGCAATTATTTAGAGAGGTCAACCTCATCAAAAGGCAAGCTCTGGACAAGATCAAATAGCAAAAGGCCCAAGGTGGGGCGGGGTCAGTCGCCAACCCTAGCATGACAGATTCTAAAGCGTCCAAGACATAAACAAAGGAAGTTGATTTTCCTACACGGCGCATGCATTAGCCTCAACCTACTTGAGGCATTTGCGTGGAAGCCACTGCGCTCACAACCTTGAAAACCCAAGACCGAATGCTGGATTTTTGTAAGGATTTGCATTATGGGTGGACACCCCGCAAGTCAGTGGAGACACTGACGGATGGGGAAGAGAGTGGGACTATCTCCATTCCTCCCTCCCACTCCACCAAAGGAGGCCCTAAAAACCTAACAACCTACACGGACCAACCAGCACCTCCGCTGCTCATCAAGCAATTCTCAGGAGCAGAAGAAAGAAGGGGTTGAGGGGCAGATGGAAGAGAAGCAAGCTGAGCAGAGTGGTGGAGGGCAGCGGGCGCCCGCGAACGCGCGAACGGCCAGATGCGGGCGCGGGCCCTTTCCTCACCTGGCAGCCCTTCTTGTGGTGAAAGCCGACCACCACGATGTGCAGGACAGGCCCCCGGGGGCCACCCTCGCTACCGCGCCCGGCCTTCTCCATGGGGCCCGCACCAAGACGACTTCAACCGCCAAGGCCGGAGGGCCGGACGACCCCGCGGCCCTCGGAGGCCCAAGAGTGGCGGGCCTCAGGTGTCAACAAGAGGGCCGCATGAGGGCAGCGCAGGAGCCCCGGAGGAGGAGAGCAGCTCCCGCAGCTCCGCGCCGCCCCCCGCGGCCACGGCCGCTCTTCCTTCATCCGCTTCCGCGGCTTCCGGGCTGTCACCTGATGCGGCGGCCGCCGCCGGCGAGGCGCGGCGGGGCAGGACCGGGGAGGAGCCGGAGGGGAAAGGGCGGAGCCTGGGGAGGGGCGTGGTTAGAGGAAGATAGGTCTCCAAGACAGGGGCGTGGCCTTCGTGGTAGGTGGGCAGGGCTCATACGGAGAGGGCGGGGCCAGGGAGGAATCATCGTGGGGGGGCAAGGGCGGGGCCTCTGGGAGGTCCTGGGGGCGCTGTTGGTCACACCTGCTCCTCTTTCTTGAGATTTGACGTCAAGTTTTTTTCTCCTCCTGTTGTTATCTATTCTTCCTCCTTAAAATCTATGCCCCTTCCCTCCTTGTTCCTTAGCTTGCTTTCTTTGTGAACATCTTCTGTTCTCTCTTTAAGACCCTCCACCCTCTGGCTTAGAGTCTTTCTGCTCTGACATTCCTTTAAATATTTAAAAACAAGGAAGCAGATTGGCGAAGCAGAGTATCTTGTGTATTCAACCTTTAAATTGCTTACTTACCCGAGATTGCTTTTTGTTTTCTTCTTGGTTTTCTCATTTAAAATTTGTAAGACTTTGGGGGCAAAAAAGAGTTTGGAAGCTTTTTTACGGCCTAAAGCAGAACATCCTTGACAATAAAGGATGTTTACATGGAGACCTGTAAAATGATTATCTAGTCCCAAGATTAAATTTTTTTTCATTCCATCTTTTCATGTGTTTACTATTTAGCTTAGCACAAAATGTATGGATATGTTTGTCTAGGGTTTAATTCCTTTATTGATTGTATTATTTCAAAATTTTAAATCTACAAATCTCATATAAATTTAAAGTGAATAATAGAAATGCTAGCAGATTTAAAAAGTCATAGCCAGGGAAGTTTGAGAATTAAATAAAGTATAGCTGCCTGCTTCAAATACAATTTGATATTACTATAATAACTGGAATTGAAGCATATCTTCACTAAGTTGCATGTCCTTTAGTATAGGCAACTTTAGCATTTGATATTTTCCATATTTTGTCTTGAAATGTAAAAGACTTCCATTCTAATCTAAAGATATCTGAGAAAAACAGCAGTTTTCGAGTCAAGTTTAATTTCTATGATTCAGTAGAACTGTTTTTTTTTTTTTTTTTTTTGGTGGAGGGGTACCAGGGATTGAACTCAGGAGCACTCAACCACTGAGCCACATCCCTAGCCCTATTTTTGTATTTTATTTAGAGACAGAGGCTCACTGAGTTGCTTAGTGCCTCACTGTTGCTGAAGCTGGCTTTGATCCTCCTGCCTCAGCCTCCTGAGCTGCTGGGATTACAGGTGTGTGCTACCATTCGAGGCCAGTAAAACTGTTTTAATGTTAATAAAATACTGAGAATTTTCAGTATGTTGCCATCCATTTTTTTTATATTACAAAACTTGGCATTGGCTCAGAAATGTGTGTAAAATTATATTGTTCCCTATAAATAGAATTTGTTAGTTATTTCTTGATATGCTACTTGTTTGATATGTCAACTATTTGCTGTGTTAAAATTTTCTTGATGTAAACTGCCCTGATATTTCCAACAATTGTAATAGCTAAAGTTTAAGTCTTACTTAAAGCCTTTTTTTTTTTAAGGGAGAGAGAATTTTAATATTTATTTTTTAGTTTTCGACAGACACAACATCTTTGTTTTGTATATGGTGCTCAGGATGGAACCCGGGCCGCACGCATGGCAGGAGATCGTGCTACTGCTTGAGCCACATCCCCAGCCCCAAACTAACTGAAAGCCTTTTAAAGAAATGTAAGGACAGAGCATCTTAGAACTCTGTCTACTCAGTAACAGCTTTTATATATGTGTGTCACTTTGCATCCTGGAGCTTTCACCTAAGACTAAATCATCTATTCATATCTGTTATGTTGGTTAAATGTTGAAAAAAAATTCTTGGGGCTGAGGATGTAACTCTGTGGTGGAGAACTTGTCTAGCATGCAAGAGGTCCTGGGTTTGACCCTACTACCTTTAAAATAATACTATAAACAAAGGAGATATGTGTCAGATCAGGCTGGGCAGGCAGCAACCAAAGGAGGCAGATTTAAAAGGGCCGCTGAACAAGCTTTATTGAGATATCACTCAATATCCATCAGACCCACAGAGGGGACAGGGGAAGGGTCTGAGGAGAAACAGCGTGGAAGCKGACTGGACTGGACTTTTATGGGGCTTACAGCAGGAAGGGAAGGGCTTGGGACAGGAAAAGGTGTCTCTAGGGTTCCTTGCCCCCTTGGAGTTGGTCAGGGGAGTTGGCTGAACTCCAGGATTGGCCAGGGGGTCCTGCTGATTGACAGGAGTTAGGAAATCTGGCTGATTGACAGGCGTTTCCGCCAGCATCTTATTGATGTTCAAAGCAGCGTGGGCTGCTTTGTTCTAAGTCGCCACCAAGTCGCTGCCACCGACCTAACAATATGTAACTGGGAAAACTGGGAGAGAAAAATAAGCAAGGGAATTTCTAGTATTTTTTTCTGTCTGCAAATATACAGACTGATCCATTAACAATTTAGAATAACAACTTCTTTACATTATTATCATTTTGCTGATAAACAAGTGTTTAATGAGACACTGCTCTTCACAGAGGTGACTATAGAGACTTATAAAAATTATAATCCAGGAATATATATCCATGCAGCACAGATCTGAAATAAACTGTTGTCTTACCACAATTATCCTGTAAACTGACTGCAACCCTTCTCTCCCCAAACAACCTGAATCTTACACAAATACAGTTATGGGTGAGGGAACCAGAAGCCTAGCTTTGTGGCCAAAAGTAAAAACCAAAGAAAAAATACCAATTCAGTGGTTAGTTAGCAAAAGCCGAGAATTCAGTGCCCTTCACTGTGCTGCTTTGCTCTTCTTGCTCTTGCTGGTTTTCGCTGCAGCCCATCCATGTTAGTCCTCAATAGGTTTGAATAAGCCATCTGAAACTTTATTCACTTCTTTGGAGTCTACCACAATGGCGATCTTTTTTCCATTCATAGATCTTAACAGACACTTGTCTGAGAGCTCAATAGTCTTCCACAGAACCTTTCCTCAGTGCAGGTTTAGTTCCACCTTCACATTTCTTCAATGTTTGCACCGAGGGACAACTGACACTTTGGAAGAATCTGGTCAGCTCTATCAGGAACTGCTGGCTTGCTTTCCAGGAGCAACATCACAGCACTGTGGGCTCTACTCTGCCAGCATAAGTCCCAAGCAGGTTTAATTAATTAATTAATTAATTAATTATTGGTACCAGGGATTGAACCCAGAGGCACCTAACCACTAAGCAACATTCCCAGTCCTTTTTTTAAAAAAACTTTGAGACAGGATGTTTTCTTTTCAGATGATGATTGAGAAACTGATTTTAAAAAATGGTACCAGGTATCACAACAGTAACAGATTAAAAAAATTCTTTTTTTTTTGTTTTTTTTTTTTTTTGAGATAGGGTTTCACTAAGTTGCTTAGGACCTTGCTAAGTTGCTGAGGCTGTTTTTTTTTTTAATTTCTTTTTTTTTTTTTTTTAGTTGTAGAAGGATGCAATACCCTTATTTTATTTCTTTATATTTATGTAGCGCTGAGGATTGAACCCAGTGCCTCACACATGCAAGGCAAGTGCTCTCCCACTGAGCCACAACCCCAGCCCCTGAGGCTGATTTTGTACCTGCAATCCCCGGTCTCAGTCTCCCAAGCCACTGGTCTACATTAGTTTTTAAACGAGTTCTATTAACGTTGAATAAATTTATTAACAGGATATTGCCCACAAAGGACAAATATCTACTAGGAAAATAACAGAAATTTCTCCTCTGTTTTAAAAAGTATTAGAAGTAGATTATCAAGACTGGAAACACCAATTTGAGAAAATTGATTACTTTTGTGAAACTTTATTTGAAAGGAGACTTTTGGTTATATTTACACAATAACATTCAGCTCCAGGGAAAAAAATTAGAAATACCTTTCTGAACACATAATACATTGGAGAGCCTCTTCAAATTACATACACTTTATGATGAATTATAAATTCTATTTATGTCTGCTCTGCAAAAAAAAGAACTAAAGGTAAAAAAAACCTTGAGAAATAGAAATATGACATTTTCAAGTTCATTAAAATTCCATCTGGAATTGGCCTGTTGTTTCTTTTTTGAGATCTTGCCTCAAAAAGAATACAATAAATAAAACCACTACCATTTCTGTTTAGAGTATTCTATTTAGAATAACAACTTCTTTACATTATTATCATTTTGCTGATAAACAAGTGTTTAATGAGACACTTAGTAGTAGTCCTTATTAACTGTAGTACTTATTAATTCTATTGTGTAATTGAACTATATGTGACACATTTTTCAGAGTCTAAAGAGACTTTCTTTATTCTTTAGTGGCATTGAAAATCACTAACATTCATTTTGCTCTTATAATGGAAAATTCAGAGCAATGACTTCCTTCCTTTTTCCCCTCCTTCCTTCTTTCCTTTTTTCCTTCCTTCCTTCCTTCCTTTCCAGTACCAGGGATTGATCCCAGGGGCATTCTACTAATGAGCTACATCCCTAATTTTTTTTTTGTTTTTGTTTTAAGACAGGGTCTCTCTTGGGCTGGGGATATAGCTCAGTTGGTATAGTGCTTGCCTAGCATGCACAAGACCCTGGGTTCAAAACCCCAGCACCACAAAAAAAAAAAAAAAAAAAAAAAGACAGGGTCTCACAAGTTGCCCAGGCTGACCTCAAACTTGTGATCTTGCTTCCTCAGCCTCCTGCATTACTAGGATTACGGTTGTGCATCACCTTGCATGGCCTCTTAAAAGTACGCTTTTCTGATTTTTATACTCATATCTAGTAATGGCAATGCCTTGAATTTGATCCATACTCTCAGTATGGTTTGGTGAAAATAAAACAGAAATAAGGATGGAAAAGAAAAACCACAGAAAGAATAGTGCTTCACAAACAAAGAGCATAACATTGTGTTTAGAACCTTATGGAGATTAAGTAGAATACTGATGGGTATGAATGAAAAAGAATTTAATAAACATTCATTGGGAACTACAGTATACTGGAATTGTGTTAGGCACAGTGCATCAAACAGGATATTGCTGCCTTAAAGTGGTTTATGTTTGGTTATAAAAATAAGATGAATTTTAAACCAGCTAATTGTGTAGACCCTACTCTAAGCCAACAATCATGTTAGGGAAACAAAGGTAAATAATAGTAGCTCAAATTTAATAGTTTGCTATTTTCCAGGTCCTATGCTAACCTTTCTCATCAATTATCTCATTTAATCTTTTAAAAAATTTTTTTGGACACCTTAATTATTTATCTTTTTATATGGTGCTAAGGATTGAACCCAGTGTTTCATATGTAATAGCGAGCACTCTACCACYGAGCCACAACCCCAGCCCTCATTTAATCTTTTTTTTTTTTTTTAATATTTATTTTTTAGTTCTCGGCGGACGCAACATCTTTGTTGGTATGTGGTGCTGAGAATCGAACCCGGGCCGCACGCATGCCAGGCGAGCGCGCTACCGCTTGAGCCACATCCCCAGCCCCTCATTTAATCTTAATAGTAATTTCTTAAATAGGTACTATTATCCCTTTTTTCCACCAGTGGGTAAATTGAGACTTAAAAAGGTTAAGCAACTTGCCCATGTCAAATAATTACAAGGAATCATGGTGGAGCTGGAGTTTGAATCAGTCAATGGATTTAAACACTACACACTACTGCTTTACAATATTCTTTGCCTCAAGGAACTTAGTCTTTTAGGGAGAGATAGCCTTGTTAATAATTATACGAAAATCACTGAAAACATTCTGATAGCTATTAGTATTGCTGCCAAATAATGAAAGAGTCYACCAAGTCTACAAGAGTCAGAGGTGATCATATTTGATAAGGGTCTTGAAGGATGTGCAAGATTTTACCTGAAGTGGGGGAAGGGGATCATAAAGTACATTAAAATAAAATCACTGAAGACCGCTATTATGGAAATATATTTGGGAATGGAAGGGTTTTATGATAAACTTAGAGGAAGTATGTAAGATTTTAATAAAAATACAGCAGGAGAGGTATGGGGGTAGGTACATGCCACTTTATTTGGAATATTGCTCTTGCCCCTATTTTGCATGTTTAACTTTTATACACACTCTGAGACTAGACTTCTGTCAATTCCTTTGGCTGGTGGGACAATTGTTTAACTTTGAGTACAAGGAATCTCATCATACTTGTCTCAAAAGATGTTTGTAAAGGTTAGAAGTATATTTGTTAAGTGTTCTGGTACCTAGTAGGTGCTTGATATTTATGGATTGGGGTGGGGAAAAAGACAGATTTGTTGAAATTTAGAAATGAGTTGAGTTCTCCAGGATCTCTCAAGAGGCCTTTTGGTTTTATTATTCATGGTGCCTTGTACATAAAGTTTGTACTTGTCTTTCTCCTCCATTCATCCTTAAGCAAGAATAGAAGAAGGTAAAAGAAAAGAGGCACTGAGAAGTTAATCACCAAAGCTGAAAAGATCAGACAGGCAAAAACTCACAAGCAAGTAAACACATTAGATTTTACAAATATAATTGGAAAAAAATAAAGTTCACCTCATAATTTCACTGGATACTTACATGATTCTGGGAAAATCCATTTTGATTATGGTAGTACTACATAATGAATGTATTTCTAAAATCTATATTTAATTTAAAARCTTTGTTCCTTAAGTTGTAAATAAGCTTTTTTTCTAGCATCAGTGCACTGTATACCACAATTTATCATTAAATACTTTATTTGCTGAAATTATGTAAGTCAAACTCAACTGGTTTCATAAATGTTTTGAACATAAAAAAAAAAAAGAGCAGAAGACCCTTTTTGTTCTGTACATCACTTTGTACTAAACAAGTTGCTGGTCACATAGTATGCAACAAATACATGTGTGTTCCATGAAGGAAATGAATATTTATCAAGTATTTATTGCAGGACTTATTTTTTCTGTGACATTTCATTTATACTGTTTAGCTTTAAGTTCCCGGACTACGAATGTAAAATGGACTAAGAATTTGTTTGCTTTCTATACTTTTAAAACAGAAGTGAAAAAGCATGCTTTTCTAAGTGTGATGACATTGACATRTAGAATGACTGACATTTGGTGGTTRCCTGTCAGACAATAATTATTTGGTGAAGAAATACTGAATGGAAAAGCCCATGTTAGACGCCTAGATATAACAAAACTAGTAAGACCTTAGGGAAAAAAATTAAGAAGTCCCAGTATGGAAAGTCTTTTTAAGTTAGTTGTAGATTTTCAATCCTCTGGATTTAGAAGCAGCAGATTCCTTAAGAAAATGAGTAGTGCCTGGCACAGTGGCACAGGCCTTGCAATCCCAGTGACTCTGAAGGCTGAGACAGAAGGATCACAAGTCTTATCAATTTAGCGAGGCCCTGTCTCAACAAAACAAAACAAAACAAAACAAAACAAAAAACCCTCCAAAACCAAAAACCAAAAACAACAACAAAAGAAAAAACAGCTGGAGATGTGGCTCAGTGGTAAAGCGCTCCCGGGATAAATCCCCCCACCCCAACTTTTTTTTTTTTTTTAAAGTAGTTTTTGCGAAAACTACAGAACACACTTAGAGACGGGAAATTTGAATTTATTTTATTGTTCTGAAGAAAGATACTGGTTTGAGATAAGATGCAACTTTCTAGGGGGAAATAAGGCGCCACAATGGTCTACGTATTTTGTAGTCCTCCGGATTGAGGGAAGGATTTATTCACGAAGCAAAATACCTTTAACGTTTTTCTGAAACTTCGAGGGCACGAAGGGCATCCGTCGAAATGGCCGAATACTCAGAGAAAGGAATTATTTCACTGAATCCCACTCTGTAAAAAAACTAAGCGGGTCGATACACGTGGACTGTGCAGATCGTACACTCGGCTTCCGATTGGTCGGGCCTGCTTCGGCGCCGGGAAAAAAGCGGAAGCGCGCTCTTTTAAAGTCGCCGTTCTAACGTCGAAGGACGCTGGCCACTTCCGGCTTAGCCATGGCGGCTAACGCTACAACCAACCCGTCGCAGCTGCTGCCGCTAGGTAATTGTCTTCCCGCTAGGAGTCGGAGCCGGGAGCTGAGGTTGAGGACCTGGGAGCGAGGGGGAAAAGTATGGAGCGCTTTCCCGCTCGGCGGCTGGTCTGGACTCCAGGACTCCGGGCGCCTGGCCGACGCTGCTCTCTAACGTGGTTTCGGAGGCACAGCCGGCACTGAAAAAGGTGTACACTTAGCGAAAGCGGCCTCGGCTTTCTTTGTGGTGAACTCGCCTCTACTGTGCCACGGGTAGCCGCTTCGCTTCTCGCTTCTCGGCTTGGCATTTAAGGTTCACAGATTAGATAGACCCCGTAATCTGTGWGGTCGGTTGAGCTTGGTGTCACCGTCCGCAGCGAACCTTAAAAGAGGAATCTGGAAACTAGTCCTTTTTCTCACTCATTCATCAAGTAGTTTGCAACACAGTATCTGGGCACTGTTCAACAGTGAACTTAAGTCACAGCCTTTGTGGAGATGGGGTTGTGGCTCAGTGGTAGAGCGCTTGCTGGGTTTGGTTCTCTGCACCGAAAAATAAAGGTCCATCAACAGATAAAAAATGTATTTTAAAAAAATCACAGCCTGTGCTTTCGGACAGCACGCCAGTAAGAATAATGCTAAGCTGACTAAAGAGATGTTGCAGTCAGAACACAGATGGACTTCTTTGGGTGAGGGAGGTAGTGACAGGAAAGTTTCTGGTGAAGATAATTATGCCTCTTTCCTCCAATATGTAGTTGGTGAAGAGTGTTTGAGTTAGTGGATGTGACTGTGATTGAATCATTTTCCTTGGGCAGACTCTTTTGGAATGCCCCACATATGTCAGACACGGATCACTGGGGAAAGAGTTATGAACAAGAATAACCATGGTTTGTGCCCGATGGACTGTAGAGTCAGAGAGAATGGTGGGTGTGTGTGTGTGTGTTGCATTAATCATGTAACGTAAAACAATAAAACTACAGTCAAATAACTACAAAGAAGAGGTAAGTGGAGATCAAGGAAGACTTTTCTGTTAAGTAATGCTTGAACAGAAATTTGTTTTATGAGACCTAAAGTTGTTGAATGAATATTTTTCCTGGTTTAACTTTCACAATATACAAATAAGGCATGCCAGTAGGCACACTCTGTGCTGGGGATTGAACCTAGGTCCTCAGGTATGCTCAGCAAGTCTCCACCACTGAACCACACTCCCACTCTTTCAAATTTGTTGAAATAATGAATGGATAAAATATGTTTTCTCTACAGAGCTTGTGGACAAGTGTATAGGATCACGAATTCACATTGTGATGAAGAGTGATAAGGAAATTGTTGGAACACTTCTAGGATTTGATGACTTTGTCAGTATCCTTTCAAAAAGTGGTGGTGGCCTAGGTTTTTAAAATGTATTTACTAATGCAGGTACGAGTTATATACATTCAGTATATTTCTGACTGATGATAAAAATCATTTTATTTGGGGGAATCTGGTGATAGGATTGATTGTTAGAGTTATACTGAAAGAAGACGAAGTTCCTACCAATAACATGCCTTTTCAATTTGAGTCAATGTGTTAACATAATTAAAATAGAACAAAAGCAGAAGCCAGAATAAATTCAACCTGATAYATGTATTTTCTTAACTCCAAATTTCAGATATGGTGCTGGAAGATGTCACTGAGTTGTAAGTAGTATCGAGGATTAAAGAATCAGGGGAAATGTCTGTCTTTTTAGTTAAATGCAATTATAATATGATTGAGTCAGTAAAATGATAAAAAAAAATTACTTATGGGATTACCTTAAAAACAAATTTTATTTACTGATATTTGTAAAATTGGATCAGAGGGTTATTAATGTAATTTTTAGTAAATTGCTAGGAAGTTAATATAGACAGAGCTATAAGGTAAAAGATACTAAAAAAGAGTAATTTTAGAGCTCAGGTCAAATTAAAGAACTAGTAATAAGAACATTTAACTGTATAACAAAATGTAAATTATGGCTTGATGGTATTAATTTATAAAAATTATAACCATCTGTTTTTAAAATTGAATTGATTACAGATTGGTTTAATGACTAGGGATCAGCAATAATAGATACGTTAAAGAAAAAGAATGAGGCTGCTAAATGTTTCATGTTGTGTTGGATCTCCATCGCAGGTTTCAGCTTCTTTTTTTTTTTTTGAAATATTTTTTGAATTATAGATGGATACAGTATCTTTATTTATTTTTATGTGGCGCTGAAGATCAAACTCAGTGTCTCACACGTGCAAGGCAAGCGCTGTACTGCTGAGCTACCGCCTCAGCCCAAGTTTCGGCTTCTTTTTATGAAGAAGTAGATGTAGATCTTAGGCTAATCAGTCTAATCTGTTGCCCATGAGGAAGAATGTACATTACCTAGTGGATAATCTTTTTTTCTCTGAAAATTACTAATATAGTTGCCTGACCTCACCTTCATTTATGTGCAAATTAACATTTTTGGTGCTGGGGATTGAACTCAAGGCTTTGTGCATGCCAGCTTCAAGAACAGCCATTTTAGAGAGGAAATGTATTTCCAAAATGTTGGCTTTGATTATCTGTTTATCATGACTAATTCTATCTSTTCATTTAGTGAAATCACACCAGAAGGAAGACGGATTACTAAATTAGATCAGATTTTGCTAAATGGAAATAATATAACGATGGTAAGACCCATTAAGCTATTTTATTTAGGTGCTAGTCCTTTTGGCAGAATAGGGATTACAAAACTAACTTGTACTGCTGGTTGCTTCACTAAATGCTCATGGGCCMGTAGTGTCTAAGATAGACTAAGGATTCTCTGATGGTCAGGGCCAAAAGCCTGAGATATTGTAAAGGCATTGGGCCTAAAGATTAATTTGCTTGGGTTTTTAAAATTTTGTATTTTGTTAGAAATCATTGTTGAGATACATAGTATTAATTTATAATGTTGGGAATTACAGCCAGATATTGATGACCTGGAGAGAATGGGGATGTGAGGGAGGGGGGAAGAGACAAAGGTGGCTTTGATTAATGGGGASCACATAGGGGTTTTTAGATGACATGGTGATATTATTAATATACTCTTTTTCCTCCAATACAGCTGGTTCCTGGAGGAGAAGGACCTGAAGTGTGAATGAATTTCCTTGACTTATGCTAGATTCCATTTTGTTTTATAATGACAACAAAATAGATTTTTTAAAATCTTTTAATGTTTAGATTCTCTAAAGCTAATTTTCCCGTTAAAGGGAAATGCTTTMAAGATGTATTGTATGACCATTTTTCTAAGTTAATCATGATTATCTTGGAAAAGAAGAAATTAGTTTGTTTTTTGAAGACTAAAAAATAAAGGTGTTTTTGGTTAACTGTTATTTATTATACTACAGTAGCCAGAGGAACAAAGATTGTAGTTGTTTTGCCATTTGCTTTCCTGTCATTTTATATCAGTTTGCATCCTCATTTATATTATCATTTGATTTCTAAACAATTATTTCAAACAAAATGATGAACTTTGATTTTGAAAGGTACATTTAAAATACCTGAAATGATTCTAGAATTAAATTTGAACTCTGGTATTTTGTGCTGAGGATTTTTCTTTGGCATTGCTGAGTTTTGGGTTCTAAGACATTTTTACCTGGTAGGACCAATGGGGCTGGGGATTGATTCGTTTTCTAAATTTGGGGTGGGGTTTGATGATAATCTTGTGGATCCAGTTAACTCTCTCTGGTTCCATTAAAAAGTGAAGCAAAACATAAACAACAAAAGAAGTAAATTGAACTTCCTCAAAATTAAAAACTTTTRTTTCAAAGCACACCATCATGAAAATAAAAAAGACAACTCACAGAGTGGGGGGAAGTTATTTGTAAACCACATGGCYGACAAGGGACTCATCTAAAATATAGGATGAATTTTTATAAGTCAATAATAAAAAGACAATCCAGTTTAAAAAATGGGCAAAGGATTGGAATAGATAGTGTTCCAAACAAACACAAATGACCAATAAGCACATGAGAAGGTGTTCACTCATTACCATTTTAGGGAAATGCAGATCAAAATCTCACTGAGAGGAAATGCAGAAAAAAATTCACTGAGATCGTACTTTGTATGTACTATAGGATGGCTATAATAAGGGAGAAAATCACAAGTATTGGTAAGGAAATGATAAAATTAGAACTCTGGTACATGTTGATGTGAATGTAAAATGATGCAGCAGCTGTGGAATACATTTTGAGGATTTCTCATAAAGTTAAAAGAAAGTTACCATATAGCCAAGCACTTCTACTCTAGGTTTATAGTCAGTAAACTAAAAACATACCACATAAAACCCTATATACATATGTTCACATCAGCAGCATTTATAATAGCTGTGAAGTGGAAACCCAAATGTCCAATGGATAAATGTGATTTATTCATACAATGAAATATTACTCAGCTATAAAAGGGATGAAGTGGGCTGGGGTTGTGGCTCAGTGGTGGAGCACATGTGTGAGGCACTGGGTTTGATCCTCAGCACCACATAGGAATAAATAAAGGTATAAAGAAGAATATTAATAATAATTTAATAATWATTATAATAAAAGGAACGAAGTACTTTTTCATGCAACAGTGGGGATGAATCTTGAATATTATGCTAAGCTAAAGAAACCAGATACGTTAGACCATATGAAATGTTCATAACAGGCAAATTCATAGAAAGTAGTTGATGGAGGCAGGGTGGGGAAAGGAAAGTGACTGCTAAAGGGTATAGAATTTCTGGGGTGGTAAAAATGTGAAGCTCAGGGTGGAGGGTCATACAACTTTGTGAGTATACTAAAACCCAGTTGTACACTTTAAAAGGGTGATTTTTATGGCATGTGTAGTTACATCTCAATTTTTAAAAAAGTGAGCCATGGGAGATAATGTGTAATGTAACTTCTGAGGCCCCAAAAGAATCACTTTTCCAAAAGTGTCAGCCCAGGCTGTGGCTGTTGAAAGGACCCTAACTCCATCTAATCATCAAGACCCCCTTTGGTTAATATTGAACAGAATGAGAATTTAAGAAGATTGTTTACTTATTTTTATGTGGTGCTGAGGATGAAACCCAGTTMCTCACATGTGCTAGACAAGTGATCTACCACTAAGCCACAACTCTAGTTCCAGGAAGATTGTTTTTTACCTTTAACTTAAGAATGTTGGATATTTGGACTTTTAATTAAAGACAAGGGGTGCTTTACCACTGAACTCCATCTCCAGTCTGCCCCACCCCCTCTTTTTAATCTTTTTGAGACAGGGTCCCATTAAGTTGTTGAGGCTGGCCTCAAACTTTGAGATTCTGTCTCAGTCTCCCCAGTTGCTGGGATCACAGGTGTTTGCCGCTATGCCCGACTTGARTTTTGATTTGCAAGGGGAATTTTTGAATTTCTCCTTGTAAATTTGATAATGAGAGGAAATTAGATTTTGATTTGGGCATGTGTATGTTGGTATTTTATTAATGGGTCTTGATGCTCCGTTRTGGCAGGTTAGACTGTGTGGCAGGCATACTTTATGGTGGGCAGTGGAGTGAGTTTTGTCTTGGAATTTTGTAGCCTTAAAGTTATTTAAATTCATCTATTATTCTGACCACATCCAGAATCTTGGGAACAAAATCAAAGCTTCCAATGATTCCAAAAAGACAATCAAAGGAACGGTAGTTGGTATTTGGGGCGACTTCTTGATAGACTGCACTGGTTCTGGAGATGTAATGTTTTAAGCCAAGGGGGTAAAAATAACAAAAAGATGGGAAAGGTAAAAGAGGAATGCTTTCCCCTTTCTGGTGTTTTTTTTCGACATGGAGAAAGATCAATGTAACACACCTGACCTTTGTTGTTCCTTTATTCCTCATACTCCAGGAGATATGCAGTGACTTATTTGATTGAATGTAGGGAGAGTGGAACTTAAATGTGTTTACTGTTTTCCTTTTGGGATTGTGTTGCTTGCAGTTAGTGTGAGTTCTCTTTGCTGTCAGTTTTATTATAACTTTTGGCTCCTARATGAAGAGATCATGGTGGTTTGGTGAGTAAATCTGAAGTATCCTCGTGTTCATACAAAAAAGTTAACCACAGCTCGCTGATGAAAGCTATATCATTTACCTAGCCTATGTCAGTAATAAAAATGACCAGTCTGTTTACCATTTTGCTTTTTTTCTTTATAGGTTTAGAAATCAGTTATGGAAGAGGGGTGTACTAATTGGGTTTTTTTTTTTTGCAAACTGTAGTATTTCTCAAGTCTCTGATGCACTAATACTACAAACTCCTCAGTTTCCTGACTGCCTGCTGTGGTACTCTTTCACATCTGTCCTTCACAATGATCAGAGCATTTGAGTTGATATATCTAAAATGTAGAATGAGGTCATATGACACTTGGGCTTTCAGCCCCTTCAATAACCTACTCTCTTTAGAGAGAGCTAGAGTTCCCTAACAGTATTCTGTGGCTATTTGTTGACTGCCAGCTATATCTTGGTCTTCCTTTCAATAATAGAATTTGTATTGTAACACTGGCTATTTCCCTAATTTGGATTTTGATTTGAATCATATTGGACATTTGTGGATGTCCCTATATCCAGATTTCTCTTTACTTGGTTCACTTCTAGTCAAGACTAGGATCAAGCATTACCTCTTCCAGGAATTCCACCAATATCTTCCACCCTTCTGCCACTACCCAGTGCTTATATAGTCAGGTTGTAGAGACTTCAAAGTGCTTTTCCGTTATACTGACTTGTACAATTGTTAACTTCTAGTAAAACAGCATCAAGCAGTGCATGCCATTCAAAGAAAACAAATTACTGTTGGATGAGAGTTCAGAGTCTGAGCTGCCACTAACACTACATCATTTGAATATCGGAAGAGTTTGGCATGGTAATTGTACTTCTGGCTATTAACAGGAAAGGTCAGAGGCAGAAGGTTGGGAGGGTCCTGGTGCTCTGTGATTCCCACTCAGGCCTCCTGGCTGACATCCTGTAAGTTGATATTTGTGATGACTACTTCATCTCACAGGCCTGATGCCCACATGCATACTATTTCTATGCCAGTCACAAGGAGTGTGAGGTCAGTGGATATGAACTGGGACAGAAAATGACTGGAAACCAGGCTTCATCTACTTTATTCAAGGGTGACCCTGGACAGAATCTTTGATTTTTAGGCTTTTCATATTTGAGTTTAGGAAAATCATGCACTATATCAACTGACCAGCAGAGGGCACTAGGAACCAGCCTGCTAGTTGCTAAAGCCACAGTGTCCTTTTTCCTAGAACCTCATTGAAACTCAGGTTTCTGRTTGCCTGCTAGGCTGTACTTACTGTTGGATTGCAGGACAAGCGCAGGTAAAGGGGTAAACTCATGACCATTTCACACTTTTCAAAAATTCTCCTTTTCATTCATATTCTTCACATTCTCTACATGAGGGAGCTTTTCTACCCTCAAATATTGTCTTCAGTATAGTGTGGATAAACAAAAAATGGGTTCTGGAATCAGATTTACCTGAATTCTAATCCTAAACACTTGTTTTATAATTTTGGACAGTCTACTTAGCTTCTCTGGCCTCAATTCCCTAATTTGTAAATTGGGAATATTAACCACCTCTCAATGTTGTAAAGACTAACAAAGATTTTATATGTAAATCATCCAATATATTTTCARATATATAGTAAGTGTCAATGAACGGATAGATGTTATTGCCTTTGTGTCAACTTTTTTTTTTCTGTTGCAGCAATTTCAACAATTGATGGGGGAGAATATGGGAGGAATGGAGGAACTTTGRATAGGGGAAAGGAGGGGACAAAGATGTGGGAAAGATGGTGGAATGAGATGGACATCATTAGGTACATGTATGAAGGCACAAACGGTGTGAATATACTTTGTATACAACCAGAAATATGAAAAAATGTGCTCTATTTGTGTCACTATGAATCTGAATACATTCTGCTGTCACGTATAACTAATTAGAACAAATAAAAACAAAACAAACAATTGAAACTGTCAGTCCATAACAGTTGTCCAAGAATGAGCCTATAGTCATCACAAAGCATGGTGCTTAAGGCACAGGGGCTCAGATAACATTTGAATGAAGTAGTGACTATAGAATAGGAAATGATCTTTTTTTATTTTTAAAGATGAGATAGAAAATGGGCTTTATGAGTTGGTGAAGAACAAAATAAAACAATTAACAAAGATGTGAGAATATTTCAAGATAATTCATTATGATATGTTATAATTTCATTAATAAGGTGATCATCTATTGATCATCTGCTTTGTGCCTGGCCAGGGAAATAGAGATCTGTGGTACAATGTGATGAATACATTAAACTTTACAGCATGTGGAGAGGAGACAGGTGGGTCCTGCTTGTCCCAGTG